TGTTGGTTATTTTCACCTCTTCCATCACTGAAACATGTATCCGCGCCATTAATATCAGATAATTTGTTAACGTATTTTAATTTCCGTTTGTTTATACAATTTCAGTAGAAAAGATGGACAACAACAGAATTTGTTTTGTAATGCCTAGCATCTAATATTCACTTTAATAAATCCGCAGTTTTGACTGAAGATCTTTTGAATTTTATAACCTGTTCTCAATTTAATCCAAACGAAATAAATGAACAAATTCCTTTCTTCAAATAATTTTTCAATCAATACGTTATGCAAACAAATTAACACACTGATTTTATCTCTGTTTCATGAATTTCAGACTCAATATTTTCAATCAGCACTTGCAAAATCTTCTGTAATTACAAAGAGTCCAATTGACTCTATTAAATGAAAAGTATTTTGCGTATCAAATTTTTTTAACAATACATTTTAAAAAACATGCATTCAGAAAATGATTCCATCTATGCCGATATTTCTTATAAAATAATTTATATAAAATAAAAATAAAGCTCTAACATTTTCACTAGTTTGTTCTGACATATAATTTTATTCTTAATTTAGTTGAAGTGTTCATCATCAAATATGGAGATAGCAATCAGAAATCAAGCTCAAAAGTCCATTGAAACATTACAAATCGGGAGCAGAGGAAACACGTACTATCAGCAGTGAGAGCAAGTGCCATGGAAAAGTAAGTACCTTCTGCCGACCAGTCACACCCACCATGTGTTCCTTGTCATGATCGGGAAACGGAAAAAATGTGTAGACAATTCAATGTGTGAATAATGGTCTAACAATTAGTATGAAAAAGTCAGTCAACAAGTCAGCATTCGACTTGCCCTAATAAAAAAAACTATAGTTAACTATAGTTTACTATATTTAACTATAGTTATTACTTTGACACTTTGAAAACTATTGTTAACTATAGTGATAACTTTGACACGTTGATTTACTATATTGATAACTTTGAAAACTTTGATTTACTATAGTGATCACTATGACACTAAAGTGATCACTATGAAAACTTTGAAATACTATAGTGATCACTATGAAAACTTTGATTACTATGACAAAAACCTTGATTAACTATAGTGATAACTTTGAAAACTTTTGATTTACTATCATAGTGATAATTATGACACTATGGTGATCACTTGGAAAACTTTGATTTACTGTAGTGATCACCTTGAAACTTTGATTTACTATAGTTAATTATAGATTTACTATAGTATTTTTTGTTAGGGTAATGATAGGTTGCATTTGCTGACAAGGTCATTGTATCGACCATTGAACTTGCGAAATGATGACTTCAAACGAGACTGTTGATATTATTGTTTCATCAAACTGTTTTTCAAAAGCTTACCTCGTTTTAGAAAATGTTCGTATGTAGAGCATGCTCTCGTGTATCAAATCAACCGGGAGACATAAACCTCCTTTGCGGATGATAATAGTATATTGCTACGTAAGTATTGGACGTAGACGATAGAAAAGTTGAAGTCATCATGTGAAGTTGAAGTCATCATGTGGCAAAAGATGCATTTTATATTACTGTGCATTTTTTATCGTGAAAAACACGCCAAACATCTTTCTTTTTAAATTTGTTTTATAAGTACACAAAGATTATCAATTCAATTTTCACTCAAACATATAACCTCTCTTATCATCTCCCTCACCATCAAATATGTTTATATCTAGCACATTGATACATTTGACTAAAATTGTTTATTTTTTTAAATGTATTCCAGAAAGACCATAGTTTTTCAGATGTATATATTTGAAGTGTTTAGATTAATAAACATTTATCATTGTTATGTTTCATTTACAATGAAGTAGGTAAAGATAACAAACAAACAGTGATCGGACTTGAAAACCTTCAAACAATACAAATCCCTGAACATGGCATAAAACACGGAACCCTAAAATTCCAGAGGTCGAATCAGGTGCCTAGGAGTAGTAAGCATCCCCTGTCTCCCGGGGATACCTATGCGAACTCTGTATTAATCATATAAACGAAAAAGTCAATAGTCAAATTAAATTAAAACAAGATTCTAGTGCAACAGAATATGTATGGCTTTGTTCATAAATTAAAATAAGAAATAACAAATTCGTCTCCACATTTTCTTTCAAAACAAGCCTTGGCTCACCAATTTATTGAATATTTTATAATTTTAAAACGAACTCTTTTAGAAATTGTTCTTAAGATATAGATATTTATTCAAAGCATATACTGAAATGATTCCATGATAACAATGATATTTTAGAAGCAGTAAATACAAGATGGAAACATTCTGCTAGAGGAGCATTATTTTGTAGAAACACACACGAAATTTACTCATGTGATTATAATAAAATAAATAATGTGCAACCGGCACCTCACAAAGACTTCATGTTTGTAGCGAAATAAAGACTATAATAAATCAATGAATAACGTTGATTTGGTACAAAAGAAACAGTGGATGAAGCAAAAAAGACGACAATGCACAGGGTTGACATTTTTGAGTATGCAGCTGGGCTTCGATGTATTATGCGTAGGCATATGTTTTGATGCTTTTTTGATGCTTTCAATGTTTGAAAAATTGTGACGTTTTTAATTTTCAAAAGTTCTTTGGAGTTCATTTTTTTTAAATGCACATTTGATTTACTTGAATATGCATATGTAGAACTGACTTTGCACAATATAATACGTCTAAAGTTTCTCCTTCATAGTAGTTAATATTTTGGTAAGGAGTAAGGATAGGGGCTTAGTTGAACATTTACTTGACTATGCAATATATCCTTGTTTGTAAGGATATTTAGGAATATTTGGAATCCAGTACAGGTAAGGTAAATCAAACACGCTTCCATGGACTGGAATGTTAAAAGTATTTAATACTGAAAGGTGATATTGAAGTATTTCATCTTTTGAAAGGGATCTCATCGAATAAGTTGAATAACCAGATGTTGATTTAAACCGAGTTCTTATAATGACCCTTACAAACAAGGACTATATTGTTATGTACTATGAATTTTGTAAAATATTATTTTCAATTTTTAGATTATTTTTTCGTTCTCAGAAAGAAATTCAAACAGTACCGATTTATGCATACATAACGTATTTTCAAAAGAATTTCTTAAGCTTTAGCAAATAGGTAAATTACAAAGTGTTTTTATCATACAACTGCTTAACATATGAATTTTAATTGTTTGCGCCTTAACCATTTTTTTTTTAAAACATGTTGTTCATTATAACTTAAAATACATGTATAATAAACATGTGTAAAATAAATATACGCAATTATTAAAGGAATTATATACTTGTATCTGACACATACGAGGGGTTATAAAAAGGATTTATGCATCGGTACAATAAATTAAAAACACATTGGAAATCAACAAAATTAAACATTTTTTAAATAATGTTTTCTGTCTCCAGAATAAACAAAATAAGATCTGTCTTAGTTTTCAATAAATTGCAATGATTTTGCAATGTGTATGCAATGGTATGAAAATACATCAAATAAAGAAAATTGCACATTAATTTTGCCTAGCAAAAATGATATGTTGTCTCTAATGTACTCTTAACGGATCACACATTGTTCCATTGTTCCAAACCAAATATGATTGCAAGATTACATTCGATAAAATCTTAATATTTTCGTAGTAGTGCCGTGGTTGATATTTTTACTGTACACTAATGCCAAATATATACGTTAATGAATAAAAAAATATGAAAATCGTAATACAAAATTACTTTTGTTAAATACCAAAACCACATTAGAATTTAAAAAGTTTATTATAAGTTAAATGCAGAATTATGTTCGAGAATCTTTTATAATATAAGAATTATTGACGTAATGTGTAGAATGGATGTATTCGCTATTTATACATTTATTTAAAGAAGTCTTGCTGTTCTATTTCATGAGGAAGAATAAATCATGAAAGTACTCTTGGAGTAGGTAGATTTAAAACGACAAAGACGCATTCAGAATAATACACAGAGAATGACCATTGTTCTACTTAAGAATTTAAAAAAAGAACTGTATTGATTGGCCATGGAATTTAAAACCCAAACTTTTAATTGGTATTTGATCGATTTCCTAACCAATGACCGGAATTAAACTTCCTGCTAGCTATGTCACATGTGTAAAGTTAGTTTTCTGATATATCTGACAGAATGATTGCAATAATTATAGTCTTTCTGATTGATACAGGTAATGTACTATTTTTTAATCACTTAGCAAGCATATTTATGTATGTCATTTTATGTATTTTATTTTACTTTCGTTTAAAATGTATTTTCTTCACTTTAGGTTTTTCTAAGTTACCATAAAGAATTTCTGCTGTGTTGGAATCCCCTTGTAAAATGTGAAATTTAGTTTGACATTTGATCACCTTAATTAAAGATTGTAGTCATTTTTCCTTCCAAAGAGACTAAAACTTAATCAGTGTTTGTCGGATCTTCACTTGGAAACTATACAAACAGAAAAAGTTATCATCAATAAGAAAAGTTCCTTTCAGTTCAAAATGGCTAAAGTGGCTTTTTGAGAAATTCATTTTGAAAGTAGAATCTATGGTGTTTAAGTGATATCAATGGGGAAATATTTCTTAACACTGAATGAAAGACAAAATACTTGGTTATTTAATTCGCAATATTTTATTCATGTTTGTTAAAGATAGAAAACAGACCTTGTATCAATGTTTAACATTTCAAAAAGATATACATGTATTATTGCTGATCAGATAATAATATAGATATGATGTGCAAAAATGAAAGACCCCTTGTCGATTTAATAAATGAACACTAAATAAATATTGATTGTGCTTGAGTAAATATAGAAAGTATTCAAATTAAAGAGGCAATTTTCCCTAAAGATGTTGAGTAAGCAGTCAATGGAATGTATATGCATTACAGAAATGGCTCATCATTTCTGAATTGAAAGAGTTAATTATGGTGCAAAACCATTCTGACTAAATCGAATTTTAATATAAGGTTTTTTCTGTGCTCATTTCCTATGTCTTTCCCTATCACAGTTACCTCACAGTATCTACATTATGACTGCTATGGATCTGGTTTGATGGACGCCAACTGTTCAGACACACAACAGATATATCCTGTGGGGGTCAAGGTCGGGACAAAGGAGGCAACGTTAAATTGCTCAAAAGAATATACTCCAGAGCTTAACTGGACCATGATTGAGTTTGACAGATGTTGTAAGCCAGATCCTGGAGATTTGTGCGTTGGAGATTACGTAAATGTTGGAAATCCACTAAATACATTTATATTTTATGAATACTGCATTGGAAGGAGTTCATGCCGAATTCTTCAAGTACAAAGAGTGGATACCTTATACTTGAATTGTGACCAAACGTTATATTATGCACAAACAACGTTTATGGCAATGGAATATGACTGTATTGATGGTGGGTATCTTCAGAGATATTATAAAAAAAAATCCTATGCTAATATTTTTATCAATGAACCCCATATTCTATTTTATAAGAATGATTAACCAGTAATTTGAAATAAATATGCCTCAGAATGTATACTCGTTAAATATTTTTGAAAAGTTTGAAAGAAATCAATCCTTAATTAACTTTACAAAATGTTTTATGTACATTTGAAGATTTACATAAAATGCAATATGCCAAAATCTTTTTAAAGCTAATTTTGTTTTTTTTAGAATCAAAAATTCTCACAATAAACGCCAATAAGGGTGTTTCATCAGAACCCGGTGGTAGTGTTCATTTGCAGGGACATGACTATTTGGTTCCTAGCATATCATCAACCATTACCACGTCATCATGTTCAATAGAGACTCCTTCCTGTGACAGCACTATTTCCATAGAAGTCCTAGACCTGCGTTTGGCCAGTGATGGTTCTGACTGTAAACAAACAGTCACAATACTTTATGGATATCGTATCACAAATTTTACTTGTGTAAACAATATAAATTTTACCCGGTTCACTGTGGGATCTGAGCATAACTATCTGAACGTTACTTTTTCAAATTCGATGACGTCCAATGGTGGTCATTTTTGGTTAGGATTTAGAGGTAATTTTGTTTAGGAAAGCATATTATTTACAAAATATACTGATAGAAACTTTCCTCATTAAAGTTAGAGGTTTTTTTTTTTTTTAAATTTTTTTAAATTTTTTTTTTTTTTTTTTTTAATTTCTTTGAAGATGTAACTGAAATCTCATCATCGTGACCCTATATAAAGAAAATTTACTACAGAGTAACAACACAGACCTTATAACTTATTAAGTATGATTCTGCTTTTTAAAATTCAATACGACTTGGACAAATATAGATTTGAGTAACAGACCAAGGAAATCATAATATATATTTCAGAATTTGTTTTAGAAATACAACTTCCCTGCTTTATATAATATATGCAACAGAATTTATTCTTTTAGAATTGAATTATATTTTGAAATGAAACAAAAGAAACATGGACATCTTAATTTGCATTACCATCCAGGTACACGCTCAGATGTTATACGGATAGACTGTCCGGCAAAACTCCCTGTAACAGATTGTAATTTTACAACAACAACAGAGCCGACAACAACTACAGAAATACATACGACCACTGAGTTAGATACGACAACTTATGAGGTTGAAATGACAACCACCGAGTTAGATACAAGTACTACCGTATCAGATACAACAAGTATAGAATCACTTACAACAAATTCAAGCCCCGATAAAAACAGTTCCCAACTTAACACTACCATCATTGGAGTAGCTGCTAATCCTACATCTCCTCCAGAAAAAACAGCAAATGAAGGTACATGTATACATATGACATGTAAAAATAGGTTAAAAAAATAATTTATATTGGTTCAGTGGAATTATATCTACATTAAATTAAACATAAAACTCATTTTCACAATTATTAATGATATTGGCGATTCATGATAATTCTGTTAAAAATATGATTAAGAAATAATTTGTATCGGTTCAGTGGTAGTATACCTACATTAAGTAGATCATAAAATTCATATGCACAATTTTTAATGATATTGGCAATCCATGATAATTCTATTTAGTCCTATTTTTTTCAAAAACAGAATTTATCTACATAGTAGTGGGAATAGTCTTGGCTGGACTGATGATATTTACAGTGGTAGCGTGTTACTGTTGTAAAAAGAAGGTAAAATACAAATCAGATCGAACACACAAGAAAACTGTTTCATGTTTTTGTTTACTGATTTGTTCTTTGCAGTTTTTTAAGGCTAAGTTAGTAAGATACTATATTTTCTTAAGGGAGCCGACTAGGGTTTTATTGTGTGAAAACTACTAAAGAGAAACTCTTTAATTTCACACCATATGTACCTTACATTGACTTCAGTATACATGCAAAGTTTAGTGAAAATCTACCATCTGGTTATTTTGTAGGGACCATCTCAAAATACAGGTACATTTACTATAGGATTATATAGGTAAATACTATTAACCATGTGTATTATGTTCATACAGAAACAAGGCAAAATTAACCCAAAGAATACAACTGAAAACAAAATCCAAAATGGCACAGAAAAAGAAAAAATCCTACATGAGAAAAAAGATGAAAATAAAAATAATTTTGAGTCTGAATCGAAAGGTAGAGAAACAAATACTATAAATGACAGCGATAAAAAGCTGTCAAAAGACAACCAAATTGATTACACGAGTGAAGGATTTATAAATTTGCTTTCTGCACGTGAAATTGATACATGTTATATAGAAAATGAATCTAAATACAAGAAGAAAAAGAAAAAGAAGAAACTTGCTAAGCAAAAGAAAGAAAGAAAGCATTCATCAGAAAACATTGACGAAAAAGAAAGGACACCACAAAACGAAGTTGCAGTCAAAGGTGTATCCGAATCAACATCGATTGATTTAATTAATCCTGCTGATCACAGTCAAAACAAACAAAAGAAGAAAAAGAAAAAGCGAAAACAATTCAAACATGACGAAGACACATCGATTGATTTAATTAATCCTGCTGATCACAGTCAAAACAAACAAAAGAAGAAAAAGAAAAAGCGAAAACAATTCAAACATGACGAAGACTTTGAAATTGCCAAAGATTTTGAAGAGAATATTGAAATTTCCCAAACCGATGATGCAGTAGGTTATGAACATAAACTAACCTTGAGAGATGACTTTGTTGAGAGCATCGAGGCCAACTCACGTGATATGAAGAAGACGAAGAAGAAGAAGAGGAAGAAGAAAAAAGGATTGGATCTTGATGATGAAATTATAGATGAAGAAAACCATAGAAAAATCAAAAAGAAAAAGAAGAAACATGGACGTGAAATAGATGAAACGAACGACGATCATAACCTTACAACGAACGATATTTAGAAATACATATCAAGACAAAACAATTCGAATATAAAAAATGTGTGATTTACTGATATGGATCATTCATATCAGATAGTTTGTCAATTCAATAGTTTGTGTTTATCAATACAACGTTTGATAGAAAGAACTGACGACAACAAAATTCGTCTTGTAAGCTTTGCGTCATATAATTATTTCAACAAATAAATCTTTGCTGAAGATCTTTGAGTTTCTGTAATCCTTGACCATATAAGTCCAAAATAATTGATTAAAACAAATTTAAATCCCCTTTTCTCACGTGAATTCTTGATCAATCTAATATACTAGTATGTGCGAAGTAAACCAATCAGCGCAATGATTTTATATTCCTTAGAATACATAGATGCATATGACTATGAATAAAAACAAATCATTTTATAAAAAAAACGTCTTGGAAATATAATTTTTGTTGAATATTTGTAGAGAATGTAATTATACCCGCACTTTCTAAAGAAAGTTCGGGTATATTGTTGTTACTCATGTTCGTCCGTGCGTCTGTCCGTCCGTCCGTCACACTTTCTTCTTCCTCAAACCCCTCTTCCTTTTTACACAGTAGCCTTAGCTTTTTATGCAAAAAGCCCCTGGTTCCCTGAACTCCTCTTACATTTTACACAGTAGCCTCATAATTTTTGGGCGATGGTTGGTGGTGTCCTGTAGATGTGCTACAAGGTTTGGGAATTTTCATTTTCACCCTGGGGGTGAAAAAGGGGTCGAATTTTTTTTTTTAAATGTAAAAAGCCCCTGGCTCCCTGAACTCCTCTTACATTTTACACATTAGCCTAATTATCTTTTGGGAGATGGTTGGTGGTGTCCTGTTTTGGAATTTTCATTTTCACCCTGGGGTCAAATAGGGGTCGAAAAATGACGTTAAAGTCTTAAGGAGGGATTCTTGTCTGGTTTCTGACTAGATGAAATATTCAAAGTATATTTGCTTATATGTTTTATATATTTAGATGTAAGAGATTTAAAAGATCATATTTTTCTTTCCTCATCACAATTGTACAACTTTAAATAGAAATGGTAAACTGAGTTTGAAATTTAGCAGGGACTATATTTTTGGCGGAATGGCGGCGTATGAAAATATCTTCTTTTCTGCCTCTCAAAATAATTATAGAAAAATGAATTGTTATAATTTTTACACAATCAAAGACTTGGAGAAAATTTTAAAATGTAAGTTAAATTAATAATAAGGAACTAAAGTTTTAAAATATATCAAATAAATACGATTTTCCAAACAAACTACAATTATGTTAGCTTTTAAAAGCTTCCAATCTAAGTTCAGATTTGATCCAAAAATCCGTAAAAAGTGTTTTTTCTCTCTTAGTAAACGGACAAAACTTTTTATTTTTATATCATTTTGTATTTTTATGTGACAACTTTACCATATGTGAAAATAAGAAAAATTTAAATATAGGAAGCATATAAAAATAACTAAAATATCTTAAAATTTTAAGAAAAATAGAGAAAATTCGGATTAGCCAATATCCATTTTAGTTAAATTATTTATGTCAATTTGATAATATCATCTTATAGACCCTATATGGTTATATCTCTTTATGCAAAAAGAAAAACATTTAATTTATTGAAATAGAAGTAGGCATCGCATGATTGGCGACAGTATTTTTTATTCTTAATGTCCAGGGAAAAGGTACTGACCTTGACCTGACCTTGCCTCTAATATAAAACGGTCAAATTTAATCTAACTGATACCATCACTTAGTGATATTGTCTTCTTGATTCTGTGAAAATTTCATTGATTTTTAAATATAAGAAATAAGTATTCTTAAGAGAAGAATCCCTCCTTAATGTCAAAGATTTCATGAGTTACTGTCCGGTTGTCTTTTCTTAATTTGACCTTGAATGAAGAAAGGGTCATGGTAAAAAAATATGATGCAGCAAATCTTCTGTCATCTTGTATCCATGTTCCAAATTTGAATTCATAATGTCAAAGGGTTCTCAGATTATGTCCTGAAATATATTTTCATGTAAAAGATTAACCTTGACTTTATAAATGGGTCATAGTAAAAAAAAACATTTTGTTGGCATGCGCCCTTTCTCCGTACCAACTCTCCATGTTCCAAGATTGAAGTTTTAATGTCAAAGGGTTCTTAAGTTATGGTTTGGAGGTGTTTTTCTCACTTATGAACTTGAATGAAGAAAGGAGTCAAGGTAAAAATTTTGATGTAAATGTCTTCTTTCTATGTTGAAATCCTAATGTTAAAGGGTTCTCAGGTTATATATTTTGATGTAAAGTTTGACATTGACCTTATGAAAAGGTCAAGGTCAGAAATGTTTAATGTCCTCAACCCAACCTCCATACCCCTATCTATGTTCTAAGTTTGACATCTTAATGTCAAAGGGTTGTCGAGTTATGGCTAGGACAAAATTTGATTGAAGAAGAAAACTGACAAAAACAATATGTAGACTAGTATAGTCTACTTGTCGCATCAAAACTGTAGAAGTAGTAGAGTTTTGAAAGAAGAACAAATTTGTTTCTACATTATGTAATGAAACTTCCACATAAAGATAAACTTTTCTTGCACAGTGGTTCTTGAGAAGAAGATTTTTGAAGATTGTTTTCTTATACAGTAAAGCATGCTTATAGCCAACATGCTTATCATGAATTGACGCTTACAGCAAAGCAATTTTCATTCCCCATGACTTTAAAATATATTGTAAACTTACTGGATATGAGCAATTACACTTATAACGAAACAAAATCGTCCGTCTCAGACAGTTATGAAAGTGCTTTACTGCACACGCATTCCCGTATTCGCAAAACTTTATTTATTTAAACAATATTTTATTATGATTAAACATAACTGGATTGGACAGCAGGCACTGTCTATATAAGTTCTCTCCACAAAACTTTGATCCCCTATTGTGGCCCCACCCTACCCCTGAAGGTCATGATTTGGATACAGTTGAATCTACACTAAGTAATGAAGTTTCACATAAACTTTTCTGGTCCAGTGGTTCTTGAAAAGAAGATTTTTGAAATACCATCATTCTTATCTCCCCTTAAAATAAGGTTTGACCCTTCATTTGTGAACAATTGTTTTACAAAAGAAAGAATATTTTACATAAGAAATAAAACTCTTTGTGTTTCTAAATATTTCATCACACCTCTATTGTGTTTCTTGTTACGTATAAATTAAATGGATGATGATGATTTAAGGTAGTCTGATCCTCAGGTTCTGAAAATCAGCTTTTCAATAATTGAAAATGCTCACAAAAATGTCTTGGATTTCACAGAGTAACGTGTATTTACCCATGGTATTTCTTCAAAGTTCATCGGTAAAGTTAATCATAAAGTTAATCATATTATATAGGGAAAATGATCAAATCTCAATATATATTTTCAGTAAATGCGAATAAAAGCATCAGCTATGGATTTTCTAATTGAAAACTGATCAACAAATTTATTTTTGGATTCAAAATTTTAGGTATCCAGGCATTTGGAGAAAATTGCATGTTTTGCACACTTATACAGTATTTTAGTTCTTCTATTTACTTCAATTGTTAAAAGTACATAGTGTTAAAAGTTTGTGTTATCATTGCAAGACATCCCAGATCACTTCTAATTTCATAACATGCTAATAAGCATTGGAATCTAATACTAGATTAGAGAAAATTTGATTTCTCATAAAATGAATTTATTTTTGTACTTTTGTGGGGTACAATGTCAACTTTTTATAATGTTATGTCTAAGACTGCAGCGAACTTATAGTTCATATTGAGATGCATAAAATGAAAATTGTTGCAAGAAAATATTTCAATTTCAGGCTTCATTTTGAGACTTTTTAAATTAAATAATAGATTTAAGAGTTATCGTTCCTATCTGAGGATCGGATATCCTTAATCCTGACTGTTCAATTTTGTACATGCCTATGTATGATAATTATACCCTGGGGGTATGTTTACTATACCTTATATATATTGACTTTACAAGTCAGGTGATTGTTCACAGTGAGTTCTTTTCAATAAATTAGTTTATATCTGCGTACTCAAATCATGAGGACTGTCATGGTTTTAATTCTAATAGATTTAAGGAACTTGCGTGAACTTGAAAAATAGAAGTTCCATGTGAAAATTGTAACAAACCATGAGAAAAGACTTTTGGCTGTGTCCTTTTGTAATTAGATGTGTAGATCAAAGAGAAGATAGTGAGTAAACTCTTTTTTTAATATTTCTGGAAGAGATATAATTATTCTAGCTGCAGTATGAGTATATTGGTGTAAAATTCAATCGATTTAAAAAACCTAATTTATAATTTCATTTCAATTTTTGGGCCTAGATGTCAGAGAGAGAGAGAGAGAGAGAGAGAGAGAGAGAGAGAGAGAGAGAGATTACCCAAGGTATATAACCTTATGCAAAACTTAAACTTGTGATCGCGAATGCTCGGAAGAAGATACGTACATTATTTAAAAAGCAATTTTTTTTTCATTTGATGTTTTCAGAACCGTTCAAAGCTGAAAATTTAGAATGTATACCATGTCAACATAATATGACTTTTATCCAATCGTTAATAAAACTGCACATTTTTGGGAAAAAGTATGATTAAATAGCTTAATTAAGGTGTTTTGAATAGCAAAATCAAGCTATACTGGTATAGCTTATTCAACTACAGAGCTTAATCAATTTTAACAGATTGTGCAATACTGTTTAATCAAAAACTATTTTAAAAATATTTGTATCACCATTCCTGATTCAAGGGAGAGCTATAGGCATATGACCAAATTAAAGTCCATACTCTATTGAATTAACAAGCATTCTGTCAGTATTGCTTTAGCAATACTAGTCCCCCACCGGCAAGTGTAATCTGGTTCCCGTTAAAATTGAAAATGCCATAATTCCGTCAAAAATCAATGAAGCGGAACGAATTGCAAACTTGATCCATACCTCATGAAGGTAAAGTCACTCACCAAAAATCAGCTCAAAATCTGCAAGCGTTCAGAAAAAAATTGCGGAAAACCCTGAAA